ATTATTACTATTATGTATATAGGTATGTATAGTGTTTTTTTTGGGTGGCCTTTTGTAAGGGAACCTGTTCCTGTTTCTTGGCCTTCCCCCTCAGCTTTGTATATGTGTTAAGTTTGTTGAGAAAATGATTAAAGTAAAAGTAAAGAACTAGCAACTGATTCAAAAGGCACGTTATTTCACACATGTCAAATTTTGACCAGCCTCTTTTGCAGCCCTTGTTTAGGATTTCAAGCAAAACTTCTCACACAAACATCTTTTTGAATCGAACGGGAAGGGAAGTTGAGTTGTTCCTTAGAACTGAAACGCCTCTGAAATGCAGTGGCATGTGTGGCAATATTTACAACAAGAATTAGTCAATAAGAAAAAATATTGATACATTAACCCTTTCAAAGAACAAGTTACCACTGATTTGCTTGTCTTTGTTGTAACAATACATTGTTAAGTAGAAGGTGACAAGAAAAAAGATTCTAGACTAGAGAATATGGTTTGATTAAGCACAAAGTTCTCAGGACTGAAATTGTAAGTCATGTGTCTCAGGTGACGAAAATTGATCTCAAGAGTGACAGGGGCAAAGCTCTCTCAGATCTTTTCAATACTGAGACATTCTATAAGGTGTGTGCCACCATCTAAAATACTCATCGGGGTACGATAATTTTAATTTTTACCCATAACTGACAATCTATACTACGTGCGAATGAATGAAAAACAGTATACAATCTAAAAAATTTCATCAGGTTAACATTCAGAACGACTGGGACCAGAGCAGCTTTGAATATGAACAGTGTTAAATTCTATTAAATTTTAACATTTCCAAAATACATTTCAGTTAAAAGAAGAAAAAATCAGGGATTAGGAATATATTACATCCTGTGTTAACTGTTTGTTTCCTTGTTTTTAAAGGTTTTTTTTCTTGCTTTGCTATTAATACATTAATAAACATCTTCAGGACATATAAAGAAAGACCAAGTGGGGTATTCTTACCCCCCTAAGATGTACAGCATGACTGCATAAAACAACTGAAATGATATATGATGATTCGTTTGTAGGGACGAGGGAGTAATTCTAGATTTAAATTATGAGGGTGGCAACCCTCCAACAGCTGACAGTGCCCAGGTATGACAATTACTCCACTAAGCAGGGCAAGAACTCTTACAAAGTAAACTTGTAAACCCTCTAGATCTACGTTAGATTTTTTGTCAAAATTGTCTGCCTTAACTTGCGCTAGTGATGGTTTCCTCTGTGAGTGAGTATTAAATGTTAAGTAAGTACTGACATGTAGAAATATCCTATTATTTCCAACAATAAAATAAGAAACTTATCAAGATAAAAAGCAGAAAAGAGAATTGGACCGACACTAGTGATTCTCTTTTCTTTACAAAACCATCACAATTTTGGTAAATTAGCGTCGTTATTTTTTAACAGGGAAATGTTCCTGA